GAGGTTTCTCATGGTACAAAGGTAGCCAACCTAAGAAATGGGGTGAAGTCCCAACTGCAGTTATGGGGCCAAGCTCAATTGAAGTCTAGAAGGCCTTGCTTCGGCCCCAATCAAAGATTTGAAGTCCTAGTGCTGCTAGGTAGCTTCTAACCAAGTTTAGTAGGAAAATCCCCAGTTTACCCCCTCTCTCTTGTACTATAAATAGGAGTTTAGACCTCAGTTAAAAACCAACTTTTTCCACTCATAATCAGCTAATGCTTTGTCGGATTGAGGAGAGAATGACTCCACCATCGATGCATACCTCATCTATTGTGACTTCTTGTCTATCTCGCATGGCTTGATAAACCCCTTGTTATTTGGGATGTAGATTCTATGATATGTCATTTTAATGCTTTCTACGAGTTAATATGATGTCCTAGAACATACTAGGGGTATTGATTATACTACTATTATGAGTGATTGGACACTACTCTTGTGTAGTAGGCATCATCATTAGGTGAGTGTAGAGGAAATGTACAACCCTCTACGCTCGAATGATGATGATGTTTGATGGTTGAAGATCCATAATACCATAGACCATCGTTATCACTCAAGAGGCCCACACTTAACGATGTACTATCCTTACTTCCTTGCTCTTCATTAATTAGTTGGTGGCACGAAGCGAAAACACACATTAGCTAGTTAACTTCCTACCGCATGTGGCGAAAGCTCGGGTAGGTTGGCCCTAGTGAAAGGGATAGGGTGACACCATAGCATTGGTGAATATAGACATCTTATCAATGAGAAAGAATGCATGCGTATCTTGATGATACTTCCTAATCAATTGTCGCTTACTTGTTTAGACTCTCTTTACTTTTTCATAATCTTTGAGTAGTTATTATCAAAAGACCTCGTGGAATATGATCCTAGACAGCCCAAAGATGATCACTTGTTTACTACATCAGTTGACATCATAGGACCTCATTAGAGAGGTTGGCATTTGTTTGAGCCAATATACTCCAGCCCACCGAACGCGCTGTAGCGAAGCTTCTCTCTTCGTTATAGGCGCCCGGACCCTACAAAGACGAGTGCCTAGAGGGCTTGGGTACGCCCGTTAGCACTCCGAAGACCAAGTTAGCCGCAATTCTAAAGAGATAAGTGATTTTAGTGAGAGAAGCCGACCTGCTTAAATGCCACCTACCGGGTACTATTTATACTAGTAGAGCTTCCGATCAAGCCCCGACCAACTCCTGCCAAGCATCCTTACATCAGCAGGGGCATTAAATGCCTGGTCTGGTCCAACGTCTAAACCAGGCCATGCCATTTGGGCCTTTAATGGGCTTCAGGCCCATTGGACGTTCTCCTTCAGTGGGCTTATTCATACTTCCCCCACAATTTGGGCTTATCCATACTTCCCCAACAATTGCCCCCCAGTTAGGTGCTCACGGTTGAGTGCCTAACTATGAGCGAAACACACCCGCGCCCGGGTTGCATCCATCAACTTTCCACCGTTTCAAGCACCAATTGTTTATCCATTCTCAGGGCCTCCGCTAAGACACACGCTTTACCATTTAACTTCCCTGGGGCGCTTTCTTGCGCCGCGCGCCTGTCATAAATTTATTTCCTCCCTCTAATGATCTTAATGTGTAGACGCTTATTCAATGAGAGGGGCGCCTAGCCTAACCTTGCCCCCCTCAGCTCATGTTGCGAATCTCGTGCTTCATATTCACATTTGACCTTTACATTCGACTCTTATATACCCCGGGGCGCTTGCTTGGACCGCGCGCCTATCGTGACTTTACTTCCCCTTCAGATAATCGAGGCTTGTGAACATCCATTCAATGAATCGGGGTGCAAGACCGCATTCAGGGCGCTTGCTTCAATGACCGTGATGTGTAGATGCTTATTCAATGAGAGGGGCGCCTAGCCCAACATTGCCCCCTCAGCGCATGTTGCGAATTTCGCACTTCAAATTTCGATAATTCAAATTTTGAAACGGACAGCGAGGATCTGACCATTCGGCGTGCGCGCATTTCGAGGTAGGACTTCTCTCTACCTATAAATACAACCTTCCGCCCCCTCTCCTCTTCATTCTCTATTTCGAATTCCTCTCTCTCTCTAGTTTCTCTCTCTACGTGCTCTAAATCTTCTCTTGTTTGTGCGCCTCCTCTCTGTTCTCATACAATGTCTCAGTCTTACTCTGGAGCGACCACAACCACCACCGAAAAGGGCGCGGGCGCGTGCCCAACATGATCACGAAGCTTGAGAAGCACCTTTCCCCTGACCCTCTCTGAGATCACGAAAAAAGGGTCGCCCGCTCAAAGAAAGAGGCGCCCAAACAGGCGAAGTCCGCTCTTTCTGCGTCGGCGCCTGTTGAGGCAGATGCGCCTGTAGGTAAAAAGGCGCCGAAAGCGCCATCGACTACCACCCAGGAGCCCCCATCCACCGACCAGGGTAATTAATTTTTTCTCTTCTGCTTTTGAACTTCTTGGATTTGCTTTGATCCTTTGTTAGGCGCACAATTAGCGGTCTTAGGCCCTTAGTATTGGCCAAGAAACGATTCGGTCACCATTTTAGGCCCTGCGCCTGCCTTGTCAAAGTCGAGTGATTTGATGATCTCCCCAGCATCCATTGACTCAGGCGCCCCTGATGACGGTTCTTTCAAGATAGTTGACTGGGAGGATATGTGGCCACCCGGGGAAGCGCCTGAAAGCACCAGCAAACTATCTGTGGCAAGAGCCAAGCCAAAACATGTGTCCACTATCAAGGTGGCAGAATTGCATCGGTTGATAACCTTGTGCAACCTGTCTCGTACATGGACTTATGCGCCTGCCTCATCAGTTGTGAGGATAGAAGTGATTGGTTCACGATGGCTTGGTATATATAGGGAGTATGTCAGATTCGGATTGCGCTTCCCCCTGGATTCGATATTGGAAGGGATTTTGACGACATTCAACTATTTGATTGGGCGCCTGTCTCTCTTGGTTTTCTTGATACACATCCTATTCAAACTGAAGTGTCGCCAGTACAACATTGCACCCACGTTCAAGCTCTTTAGGTATTTTTTTACGATGACCAGCAACGACAACTGCCTGTCCCTCCAGAGGCGCCTGGACATTCCGGGACATTTTGTGGAAGATTGTCCGAAGTTGGGGCGCGAATGGTATAGGAGCTATTTTTTCTTTAAGGCGCGCATAGAGTCATTTTATGAGTGGCGCCCGCTTCATAAGGGGCTGGAGTGTTGGCGGTATCATTCAATTCAACGTTGATGTGGAGTTATCTGCCGACGAGAAAGAGAGCGCGCGCCTGCTATCTCTTCAGCCGGTGAACTTAAGCTCCACAGCTGCTAGAACCCCTACTTTGCATGAGTATTATGCTGACGGTGGGTGGGCACCTATCAGTATATTTGTGCATCCGCTAATTACGTGCGCCTATGATGTTGTATATGCACCTATAGTTACTTGAATTTCTCTAACTTTATATTTTCTTTCGCAGGCGTGGACTTCATCTCTATTGCCACGCTGATGAAGACCCAATTTGAGAACATGGGCTTGGATTATCAAGCGCCTGTTTTCCGAGGCAAAGTGCCCTCTCGCTCAAAGAAGGGTTCTTCGAAAGGGTCCCATTAAAGTAAAGGGGGAAAAGCCAAGTCCTCCTCATCGGAGCAAAGGCCACGACCGGACAAGGTGCGCCTGCGGCCCAAGTGATCAAAGGCAAGGGGCGGTCAAGCCCAAAAAGGATCAAGCCAAAGAAGGTGTCAGGCGCCCCTCCTGTGGAGGTTGAAGATGCACCCCTTAGCGCTCAATCGGAAAAGCAGAGGTGCCTGAGTTTGTGGAGAAGTTGTCTGCTCAGACAAATCGGCGCTGGAGAGAGGCCCCGGGCTTGGATTTGCCTTTCGAGCAGCCGAGTTGATGCGGGCGCCTAGCGATGTTCAAGGAACGAACGTGTGGGGAGAGGTGGCGCGCATGGCTGCCCAGGTATGCGTTTAACTCACTTCATTCCTTGTTTAATTTATGTGCATGTTATTTTTACTTACATGTGATTTTCTTTGCTAGATGCTCCTTCTCGCCCAGAATGGCGTATTGGCTGGTGAAGCGTTACGCGTTGGAGCGGCGGAGGCCTCCTCCTCACTTAGCGTGATGCGGGAAAATCTGGAGAAGGCTCAGAGGCGCCAACAAGAGTTGGTAAAAGCGTGCGAGGATGCCAATGTTGAGGCGGCGAAGGACGTCTCCCGCGTCCAACAGGAAATGGACGAGGACAAGAGGAAGTTGCGGGTGGAGTACGAAGCCCAACTCGAGGTTGCTAAGAGGGCACATCACGAGGAAGTGGCCAGGCTCGAGAAGGTGAAGGCTGATTTAGAACAGGAGGCAGGCGCCCAGAGGAGTGAGATTGACCTACTGCTTGAAGAGAAGAGGACTTTGCAAAAGGAGAAGAAGGTCCTCGACAAAGAGAATAAGAGGCACCTAGAAGAGGTGGAGGCGCTCAAGGAAGGGAAAGTGACCTCGGAGGCGCCAGCCTCGGACTTGGCCAACTCCGACAGCGGCCGTGCGCTTAAGGCTCAAGCGTCCCTGCATAGCATCCTCATTTTGAAGAGGAAGTTGGAGTCTGACCATCACACCATCAACTGGGACGTCAGGGAGATGGTCAACTTCGTTATTGACTTCATGGCAAGCGGGCGCTCGGTCGTTGATAATGTCCCCGCACCTCTTGAGGATCCGGCGGATGAGCCAGATTCGGTGTCTAGTTCAGAGTCCAACGATGAATCGGCTGGCAGTAAATAGGATTATTTCATAGTATAACTTGTATGGCGTCGGATTTTGGAAACATGGGCGCCTAATGTTTTGATCAAAGGGCGCAATGAAAGGCGCTATAGTTGGTGCAAGGCCCTGGGCGCTATGTAGGAAACAAGCATAACAAGAGCGCACCCCGTTAGGGCGCAAGTAGTGGGTGCTTTATGTGTGTTGGGCGCATTAAGGGCACAATGACTTGGTGCTGTGGGAGAGTCAAAAACTTGTGGGGTGCTCAGTTCTCATTCTATATTGTCATGTACCACTTTGCAAGAAACAAAAAAGTGTGTATATATATATATATATATAATTCGATTCAAAAAAGCAACCTTGGGGACGCTACAACCGGGCGCTTTAAGTATCCCGGGCGCTTAAGGGCGCTTTACAATACTACATGCGCAAAAGGGCACTTTTGACTATACTTACTAAATATCACCCCAAAGACTGGCATTTTCCTTCGCAATTACTTCTCACTAGGCGCCCCCTCAGGCACCTTGGTCTCCCCAACACCATTGTCTTCTTCATTTTCCATTCCAACCTCCATGAACTCGTACTTGCGCAGATTCTGTGCATTCCAAGTTCGTTTTACCTTCTTTCCCGACAAATGCTCTAGCTTAAACGTGCCCGGGCTAACGACTTCCTGGACACGATACGACCCTTTCCATTTTGGCGCCATTTTTCTATCGGTGGCCTTTGGGCAGAAATCACGTTTTAACACAAGGCTTCCAGACGCAATGTCCTGCGGGCGCATCTTCTTGTTGTAGTATCTTGCCACCTGGAGCTTCATTGCCTCTAGCCGCAAAGCCGCCCTTTCTCGGCGCTCATCAAGGGGATCAAGTTTGCCGATCCGCTCCTGCTCCTCCACTGATTCCTCCCTATGCGCCATACGAAAGGTCGGAATGCGCACTTCTACTGGAAGTACCGCTTCGCTTCCATACATCAGCGCAAAGGGTGTTTCTCTGGTGGCCTGTTACACCCCGACCTTTGGGTTCAGGTTCGACCGTAATACGTGAACGGTTGGATTAACGGTTACGTACTAAGGATTGCAACCGCCATCTGAAAGAGGCTCCACATATTTGTAAGTTCCTGAACGATGGAGGCTCGGTGGATTTGAAGCCAATTTTGGACGTGTAGATTGATAAGACAGATGGAATTATACGGTGGGGAATTGAGGAAGATGTGAGGGTGATCCCTCATAAAGCTTTTGGTGGGGGTTTGATGAAAGCTTGGAGGGATGGGGCTTGTATACACCCCTCAAGGAGAGAGGACCCTAAGACGATCAACCTTGAAGGATGGTTCGTTCGATTCAATCAACTTGATCGTGAGGTGAGTGTAAAAGGGGTAAATTCTACGCCTTACGTATTCTTTTAAGTATTATGATTTTGAGTATTTTAGCGAATTGGTTTTCGTGGCTTGGTTATGTGTATGATTGATTATTTGTGCTTTGCTTGAGTTATGGTTTGAGATGATTTTGTGCTATTTGAAGTAATTTTTGTTTGAGCTATGCTTGAGGTGAATGTTTATTAATTACTTTGAATTTTACGAGTATAAGTTATCATTAAAGAGTAAGAAACAAGTTCTTTTTAAAGAAGTAACTCACCTTCAAGAAGTCGTTTTAAGTGTTTTTAGTCACTAGCGCCAGTCCGTTGCCTTTTGAGACAGTTTGAGATAGAGCAGCAGTTATGCTCTTGAGATTTTTAAGATGGGCAGCAGTTATGCCCTTGAGAATCGTGGTGAAGAGCCACCACGATAAGTTTAAGATGTTAGAGGGATGAATCGTTACGACTTCCCTAACTAAGTTTAAGTTCAAGGAAAGCCTGGATGGCTTCTCATACGTATGAGTTGGCAACCAGACTAGCTAGTGGGGGATCCCACTGTCAGTCAAGTATTTAAGTCGAGATTTAAGCTTTAAGAGTGGAGAGTAACAGTTACTCCCATACAATTTTAAGAGTAAGATTTTTAAGAATGGAAGTGCAAACAACTTCCCTCAGTTTGAGTTTAAGTGTTTGAGAAGAAGTGCAAAATTATTAGAAAGTTTAAAACGTAAGGGCGTAGACTGACCCCATCTCACTCACCAGTTTGAGGAGCTAGAGGAGCAGTTAGTGAGCAGCGAGTTCGAGGGCAGCCAGCTAGAGGAGAGCAGTATAAGCGTCACGGAGGATGCTTAGTCAAGGATTTCAGTATCAACAACTTCAAAGTACTAGTTATTTACATTTATGATTATGAGTACAGACTGGAGATTATTTGAGATCAGATTGAGATTTTAAAGTTTGAGTTTAATTTGCCCACATGTTAGGGCTTTGCTTTGAACTACAAGTGTGTGTTTTCAGTATTTTATTTATTAAAATTTTTCCCAGTTGCAATTTAAGATTTGAGTATTTTATTTATCAAAGGCATTTTAGTAAAAGTAGTACCTGGCCGGGTTAGGGTGTTACATGGCCACTTTGAAGGTGGTTCTATGCGCCCACAATACGCTTGGCAGCTCTTCCACCCAGTTTCCTTTGGCTGCTTCTAGCCTTGTGTGTAACCCGTGTAAGATGCTCTTGTTGACTGCCTCGGCTTGCCCATTTGCTTGCGGGTATGCTACAGAAGAGAACCTCAGGACCACCCCATTTTTGTCGCAAAACTCAATGAATTTTTTGCAATCAAACTGCTTCCCATGATCAGTGACGATAGACTCTGGGATCCCGAACCTTGTGAAGATGTTTTTTTCTTTTGAACTTCTGCACTTGCACTTCAGTGATGGACGCAAGCGGCTCCGCCTCAATCCATTTATTGAAATAATCTATGGCAACAATCAAGTACTTGAGCTGTCCATGCGCCTTAGGAAAGGGCCCTAGAAGATCCATTGAGCGAAAGGCCAGGCGCCTACATTCCCTTGCATGGGCGCCGCTGATATATGTCTGTCATTGGCATTGGTGGCATGCGACCACATGCCTTCCAGCATCAGCTCTCATCGTTGGCCAATAATATCCCTGTCTGAGCAAAACCTTTTCTAGGCTACGGCACCTGCGTGCATTCCGCATGTTCCTTGATGCACTTCGGTGATAGCCTTTTACCCTTCAGCTTCGGTGAGGCACCGTAGGTAGTCGCCCGAGTGTGACCTCTTGTATAGCACTCCATCTACAATAGCACATCGGACTGACTTCCTCCACAAACGCCAAGCCTCCTTTGGATCTTAGGAAAAGCATAACAGATGCCATCCATCCTTTCATTGTTCCCATGGAAAGAGATGTCCTCACCCTCTCCTCGCGCGGGGTGACAATCACCATTCTATCCTCTCCAAAATCTAACGTCGTGGCCAACTTAGACAGGGCGTCCACATGAGCGTTCTCCTCTCTTGGGACATGTGTGAACGTCACCTCACGAAACCAGGCGCATTTTTCCCTAACCGAGTGAACATATGCTCCCTGCGCCTCCTCCTTCACCTCATATACATTATTCAACTGGTTGACAACCAGTGTCGAATAAGTTTGAATGTTGACCTTATGGGCGCCTAGTTCCCTTGCCATGTGGAGTCCTGCAAGGACTGCCTCGTACTCCACAGCATTGTTCGTTTTTAGAGTTGTAAAGCGCAAGGAAACCTCATGCATTGCGCCCAGTGGGCTAATGAGAACAATACCCGCCCCTGCGCCTGCTCGGCTTGCTGCTCCATCCACTTGGACTTGCCAACATTCTTCCGTGCCACTTCCCACGTCGACCACTCCTTCGGCTACAAAATCTGCCAAAACCTGAGCTTTGATGGCCGGCATGGGCGCATAGCTTACATTGAATTCACTAAGTTGGACGGCCCACTTAACCAGGCGCCCAGACACATCCATGGAACCCAGAACCACTCGGAAAGGAAGATTCGTGAGCATAATAATGCTATGAGCTTGAAGATAGGGTCGGAGTTTGTTTGCTACCATGACCACCGCCAGCGCCGCCTTTTCTATGGGCGCATATCGCGTTTCATGCCCCACCACGGTACGACTAACGTAATACACCGGTCTTTCTTCGTTCGTCAACGGGTCTCTGGATATCAAAACTGCGCTCACGGCAATCTGAGACACCGCAATGTATAAGTATAGTGTTTCCTTAGCCTTAGGAGCGGTCATCCCTGTTAACCCTTGCACTTATTTTGGCGTTCAAAGGGGCGCCAAATTCATAATTGCCTCGACTTGCTTGGGGTTAGCCTCAATTCCTCGCCTTGTGATCATGAATCCCAAGAACTTACCGACCTCTGCCAAGAACACACACTTCTTCGGGTTAAGCCTCAACTGAAATAGGCGCATAGTCTCAAAAGTCTCCCGCAAATCCATGATGTGGTCTTGGCGCCTCTTGCTTTTCACAATCAAGTCGTCAAAATATGCTTCTACATTCCTCCGCAACTTTTTGCGGAAGATTTGATTTACCATGCGCTGGTAGGTGGCTCACGCGTTTTTTAACCCAAATGCCATCACCTTGTAACAGAAGTTGCCAAAGGGCGTCATGAAAGCGGTCTTTGCTCTGTCTTCTTCCACCATGGGGATCTGATGATATCCCGAAAACATATCAAGGAAGCTAAGCTCCTCATGGTAAGCCGTTGCATCCACGAGTAGATCAATGTGCGGCATTGGGTAGGTGTCAGTAGGACATGCCCGGTTAAGATTGGTAAAATCCACACACATTCTCCAATCGCCCGACGGCTTTGGGACAAACACGACATTCGACAGCCATGTGATGTACCTTGCCTCCGCAATGAACCCCGCCTCGAGCAACTTATCAACTTCCTGTCGGAGGTCCTTTTCCTTCTCGGGAGTCAAAGTTTGCCGCTTTTGCTGGACGGGCTTCTTGCCCTCTTCGACGGCCAACCTATGCGCCGCTACATCGGGGGACACCCCCGGCATGTCTTGCGCACTCCATGCAAACAGCTCCCGGTATTCCCTTAACAACCTTACCAATGGCGCCTTCATATCTTCCGGGGCTTGTGCCGAAATCCGCACCTGAAGGTCGGGGCGCCCCTCCTCGATTGTCACGCTTAGTTCATCGTCAACAGGTGCTTCTCTGGGCGCCTCCTTTGGGCCAATGTCTATGTTGTTTACCCTATGCCTTCTGGCGCTCCCCCTTAGCTCTTCCTCCCGAGCGTAGCAGGGGGGATGCCCTCCTCGTGAGATGTCTATCCCTTGTGGTGCAACAAATTTCAACGTTTGGTGACATGTGGAGGCCGCCCCATCAAACAACGCCAAAAGATGCTTGCCTAGTATCACATTATACTGCGTGGGGAAATCCATGATCCCAAACTCCACTGCATGCGTCACACGATGCATTTCATCACCCAGCGTCACCGGGAGGCGCACACGCCCGATCACATGGGCGAGCGCCCCCGAGAAACCTATCAGCACGGAGTTTGAGGGGCTCACTAACTTCCGGTATCCACCAACATCCTCTTCACTTTGCACCCCGCAATCACGCCTTGTATCTCCAAAGCCTCTACTGAAGGGACTTGGCACACCTCATCTGGCTCCTGGTTGAACTAAATTTGCACCGCCGCTTTAGCCTCCATGGACGCGGCTCTGAGGTGCCTGGACCTGCCCAATTTATCTCGTAGGTCAACGGTACTAGTTATGGACTCCACCATGAGCCTAACCTGGCTAGGCTCTCCCTCTTGGTTCACCTTGAAAGCGGGTGGGGGTATCTCGAACTGAGGAGGAAATACCTCAGGAGCCAGCCGAATGGCAAGACGGATAGGCGCTTGTGGAATAGCTAGCACAACAGGTGCCGACTTCGTTTCCCTTGTGATATATGAGGGGTGGGTCCTTTCTTCTGCTTTCCTCACAAAGTCATTAAGCATTCCCCTGTCATATAAAGTCTGCAGGTCCGCCTTTAGTTGGTAGCAATCGGCTGTGTGATGCCCTTTGTCCTGGTGGAAGTCCCAATATCAGTCAAGGTTTTGCTCGTTTGGTTGCCCACAAATTGGTCCCGGCCAATGCACATGATACCCTCTGTCCTTCACATACTGCAGAATATTCTTCAAAGTATCGTTGTATTCTATAAAATTTCCCGCGCTCCTGGGCGGTGGGCGCTGACCCTCTGGTCTCCTTTGTGGAATATTGTTCGCGATGAAAGGTCGAGGCGTCGGGCGCCCCTCAATCTCCTCTCCCTTCACACGCCTCTTTTCTTGCCTTCTTGCAGCTAACATTTCCTCCAGCATGATCACCTTCTGCACCCTTCGATCCAAGTCTTCAGTAGAGATGACGGCCCTCTTTGAAAGCACACAACACAGTTCCTCACTACTCGTGCACTCCTCGAGGCAAACCCCCAGTACCAGGGGCTGCACATCTTTGACCGCCATGGCGACTGAAATCCATCGATCATAGAATTCTCTAAGTGCTTTACCATCCTTCTGCTTTATCTTGAACAAGGATCCTATAGTTAACGTTCGACGCTTTCGGCTTGCAAATTTGGACAAGAACAACTCAACAAATTGATCGAAACACTCAATGCGCCCCTCCTCTAGCTGATGGTACCAATCTAAAACCACTCCTGTGAACGCCGACGGGAATACCTTACACAATGTGGCGTCCGAACTATTGTACAGTTGCATCTTCGTGAAATAGCTGTTCAGATGATCTTTTGGGTCGATGACCCCGTCGTAGCTTGACAACGGTGGGAGAGTTGTCCTGGCTGGCTCCATTAGCACCCTTTGCGCCAGGGGTTGTCAGACCCCAAAGCGCCTGGTCTGACATCTAGGCGCCCATAGGTTGTGTTCCTCTAGGCCGGACATAGCGAGCTCGGCAAGCGCTCTCCACGTGTTTGAGCGCCTGGGCGGTGTCATCTCCCCGCTTGGCCCCTCGTAATATGGATGCCCGTATTGACTGTATTCTAAGTCGTCTACCACCCTATTTCGCTTCCTCATTGAGGGGTTGTACTCCCTCGTATCCCAACTCCTTCCTCCTTCTAACTCCCTTCAAAGCGTTGCTATGGCCTTATCTTGATCAGCTATAATCCTGAATAACTCCCTCTTTGACAATGAATCGCTTTCCATGGATAGGCGCTCGTGGCTACCTTCCTCCTCTACCTCCATGCTCAATTCTTGGCTCGATCGCTGTTCACTCTCCTCTTGGCTGGAGCTCTCCGTTCTTGAGCCATCCGCGCCTCCATCTCCTCATTCAAGTCTTTCATGCGCCTAGATCTTCCCCTTCCTGGCTCGCCAATTGTTTGAGCCAAGATACTCCGGCCCCACCGAACGCGCTGTGGCAAAGCTTCTCTCTTCGTTATAGGTTCCCGGACCCTGCAAAGACAAGCGCCTAGAGGGCTTGGGTATGCCCGTTAGCACTCCGACGACCAAATTAGCCGCAATTCTAGAGAGATAAGTGATTTTAGCGAGAGAAGTCGACCTTCTTAAATGCCACCTACCGGGTACTATTTATACTAGTCGAGCTTCCGACCAAGCCCCGACCAACTCCTATCGAGCAGCCTTACATCAGCAGGGCATTAAATGCCTGGTCTGGTCTAACGTCTAAGCGCCTACACGTGGCGCATTCCCGGGTCCTTGCGTCGGGGCGCATGGGGAGACCATCTGTCTACGTGGCGCTTTTTCGACTTTCCCCTGCCGTACTCCTTTGTCGACAAGCCTCTTTTGTCATCATGCGCCCCCTCGTCGTTGGCACCAAACCAGGCCATGCCATTTCGGGCCTTTAATGGACTTCAGGCCCATTGGACGTTCTCCTTCAGTGGGCTTATCCATACTTCCCTTACAATTTGGGCTTATCCATACTTCCCCAACAACATTGTACCACCTTTTGAGGATGAAATGCTTCTTCTTATGTCGTGGTCCGTGGACATATTGGGTCTAAAAACCTAACTCATAAGACTTACTCAAGTTGATTTTTACTGTACCCTTAAATCCCACTCCTTGCAAATAACATATGTGGTTTTCAAGTGTAGATAGAACCAAATCCAACGGTAGACAACATCATGTTAATGGTGACAACCTCCATGCCGAGCAGTGAACAACTCACCATAGACTGAAACCCTAAATCGACCATTCACTTCCTAAATCTATCACACCCCTTAAAGCTAAACTCTCTCTCTCTCTCTTCTTTCCATGCCTCAGTTCTCCTATGATTTGGGTTTCGTAAACTCCATATGTCTCTCCAACTTATTTGCGCTAATGGTCCTAATCACTCTAACTACCACATGGTTTAGGCTATGAAAACGGCTCTTGCACAACCAATAAGAATTTCTCCTTGGTCATATACACGGTGACTCAAATTAAACTATATGATAGTTCCAAGTTACTACCATGTTCATGTTTCCCAACCCTTTTTTTTTTAATTCCCCTATTGCCATTATGCCCTATTGATCATGACCTAATGATGTTTTAATGCAGTGAAGTAGTATTCTCATCTTGCAATAATGTCTTTTTTAGGACCAAGTATGGGCTAAAAGAAGTAAACAACACAAGCACAAACACCCTTCCCCAACGGTGCTCGCGATCTGCCATACATTAGCATGTGAAGAGCGATGCGACCGAGCCACCCACCTCAATTAACTATTGCATAGTTGCCTATCGTCTCCTCATTCTCCCAATAGAGAACGAGAATGGGAGATTTCCTGGATCTCTTGTCCCCATTGGCATTTGTTTATATTTCCTTGAAAACACCCCTTTTGTTTATTGACCTGAATTCGTCTGAATCCTGTCTAGTAAAACACTAAGTACATTGTTCAGTACTTCTCTCCTTGGGCGCCCTTGGAGGATGCAGCAACAGTTTATTCGGAAGGGTTACAGGCAGATCATGGCCCTCATAATCATGTTGTGAAAGTCTTGGTCTTCCTAGTTCCTCCCACTTGGACTTGATTATAGATGTGGAAGGGATTCTGCCTAGTATGATATCTCATTGATTTTGGTAGATGTACTTTATAAATGATTATTGTGACCATATAATGTAAAACTAGTCATGCTTATGTTTGCGAATAGCTAACTCTTTCCATTCAGTGATTGGGTCAGGTCAAGGTACAATTGATTTAGATTGAGAGAAGATCGTGAAGCGTTTGGACGTATTGACGATCTACAAGGAAAGAGTGAAGGTTCTCACGACTTGTCATCACACTAAACCTCAAGTCTTATGGTACTATAGAGAGAGAAGTGTATGTGGTTTAGTTAGAGAGCGAACCCCCCTCCCACAAAATGGGGCACCTTGCATTTGATGTGATTGTACTTCGAAGATATAGGCACCACACTGAAGGCTCTTGGTCTCAGGATTAGCGGACCTTGGCTCTTTAACCTGCCGAACTTCTCGGAGGCCGATGGGTTGTTTTCGTCACTCTTCCTAGCGGGCCGGTCATCTAGGCTGCGGCGGGCTAGGGCCTTTGCATTCGGGTTGAGGTATGAATTCTCACATTCTCAACCCTAACCAATTGTCATTAATATCTAAATCTTAACAAATCGTTTTTTACGCTTTCACTAACAGACGAAACATCAATCTCCATTCACATTTTTTCCAAATTTGTCATATTATAATGCCATGTCACCAACATTTATACCAAAAAAAGTCACTCGGAAAACCACAAGTTTGTTCGTCCAAAAACATAGTACATTCGACCAAAATAAATTGATCATCACAAGACGGGTCGCCCCTTCGAAAGTCAGTATTACAAAAAGAAGGGGGAAAACAAAGTTTTCATCAGTACAAACTAGTCTAATCATGATGATACGAACCACGCAAATTAGTAAATAATAATCTTAAAAAAGTAAAACTTTCACCAACTAAAATATTAAGATCAAGATGACAATAAAAACAATTGTGACCTACACATCATGTGTCTGTCTCTTCAATTGGAGCAAATATATCAACCAAGTCAAATGCTTAACCTTCATAGAAGCCGTTAACCACTAAAACACTTATTATTGTACTCATAGTAATGATCTAAAATTAACTTATACAAAGAGTACACTACCTTATTCGCTTTGACTAAAACCCAAAATCAAAATCCATTTCATTTCATTAAGAAAGAAAACAAATCACAACTTGTCTGAGAAAAAAAGAGAAATTTTTAATTGGTGGAGAAAATCATTAAAAAAAAGCATAATAAAATATTTGGAGGATAACCAGATTCAGAGCGACACAGACTGTTTGTTGCCATTTGCCAACAACAGCCCATGTTCTGGCGGTTTCTTTCTTTGCCTTTGCAGATAGATAACTTTACACACTACAATCAATAATCGTCATCACACCCTGCAAGCAACGCAACCCCGTCGTCCCCTTTCCTTCCCTTCTTCTTTCTTCCATCTTCTCCTTCACTCTTTTTTGGAATCTTGCGTCTTTCTGATTTCTCCCCCATAAAGTTCCGAACTTTATCTACTTCCCCCCCCCCCCCCTCTGCAGCTTGTCACGGGGCTCTCAGATCTGCGAGCACTTTGATGGGAATCAACACAGTGATTGATTGATCCCAGGAAATAGTTGCTGTTTCCTTTTCTTTGGCTTCCCGGATGGGAACTTGTGAAGGTAACCTGACAATCTCTCCCTAATAATCTTCCAGCAACTTGAATGCCTTGTTCACTGTTCTGTGTTGGAGCAAAAAGAAATTTTGTGGTCTCGCTATACAGTTCATCTCTGGGAGAGGGTTTGCCTTGTTGGTGTTCGACGAAAAGCCTGAATGGGGAAGATCCAGGGAAACAAGCTCTTGTTGGGTCTTGTGTTTATTGGGTTGGTGATTTTGGTGCTGGCGGGCAGTGGGGAAGGTCAAGATCCAGGTTTTCTCATAAATTGCGGCACAAGTTCTACGATTCACGTCGATGGCAGGAATTGGACAGGGGACTTGGCTCCTAGCAACAGTAATCTCACTCTTAGCTCTCCTGGGTTCTCTGCCACGACCTCGGAACCCATCGGCAATTCCATATTTAGCCAGCTCTATAAAACTGCCCGGATTTTCACCACCGACTTGAACTATACCTTTCGCGGTGTTCAGGGCGCTTCTTACTTCCTCAGGCTCCATTTCCATCCCGCCCAGTTCCAGAACTACAACGCTAGCGAATCCTTGTTCAGTGTTGCGGCCAATGGCCTTCGACTTCTGTCCGAAATCAGTGTCGCCGGGGACATTTCCCACAGGAATTCCATATTGCTGAAGTCAAGCAGCAACTCGAGTTTTCCCATTTCCTTGGTGAAGGAGTACATTCTGACTGGCAACGGTACTGAGCTTGTGGTTGAGTTCATTCCCGCGAAAGGATCATTTGGGTTCGTGAATGCGATAGAGATTGTTGAAGTGGAGTCCACGATTTTCCCTGAAACATTGAGCAAAGTTGGGGGAGGTGATGTTAGCCTTGGCCCAAGCCGAAGAGGGATCGAAACTATGCACAGGCTGAACGTTGGTGGTCACCAGATTAACCCGGATCAAGATTCGGGTCTGGGGAGACTGTGGGAAGATGATTCCAGCTACATGGTCACTGCAAATGCCGGCTTCGAAATCCACAATAGCTCCAACGTCACCTACGCTTCTTCTGGTGGTAATAATAACAACAATGTCACCACCACCTCGGTGGTGGCTCCTCTTCTTGTCTATGAATCAGCAAGAGCCATGTCCAACACGCAGGTGTTGGAGAAGAGGTTCAACATGTCGTGGAGGCTCGAAGTCGATCCAGGTTTCGACTACATGGTTCGGCTCCACTTCTGTGAGCTCGAATCCGATCGAGCTAACCAGAGGATTTTCAGGATCTATATAAACAACAAGACGGCTGCTGACAATTTCGATGTGTACGCAAGAGCTGGAGGGAAGAACAAGGCTTACCATGAGGATTTTTTCGACGTGCTGTCTTCTGGTATCAACACGATTTGGGTTCAATTGGGCCCTGATGCTGCTGGGGGGGCTCCATCGACTGATGCTCTGTTGAGCGGGCTCGAGGTTTTCAAGCTGAGTCGAAACGGGAATCTGGCCTACGTCAATAAACTCGATTCTCCAGGGAAATCCAGAAGGAGCGGAGTTTCCAGGACTCTGTTGGTTGGAATTGGAGCAGTTATAGGCTGTATTGCCATCATGGCAACTTTAGGCGGCATCTTCTGCTGCTACTCGATATGCATGAAGTTGAAAAGAGAAGAACCTGGTAAGAAGAATCCTAGTACAGGCTGGCGTCCGCTATTCAATGTTCATGGTACAGTAGCGAGTAGCATTGCTAATGGCAAGGGTGGTGGTGGGACCCAGAACCCCGGCGGTAGTGCTGGTTCAGTTAGAGTCGGCAGGTGGTTCACATTGGCTGAAATCCGAGCAGCAACAAACAACTTCGACGATGGTTTGGTTATTGGAGTTGGCGGTTTTGGGAAGGTGTACAAAGGCGAAACTGAAGACGGTTTAGTCATGGCAATCAAGCGGGCGAACCCACAGTCGCAGCAAGGGTTGGCTGAATTCGAGACGGAGATAGAAATGCTGTCCAAGCTGCGGCACAGGCATCTGGTGTCCATGATCGGATTCTGCGAAGAAAACCATGAGATGATATTGGTATACGAGTACATGTCAAACGGGACGCTTAGAAGCCATTTGTTTGGAAGTGATGGTAATCCATTTATGACGTGGAAACAGCGCTTGGAGGTGTGCATTGGTGCAGCTAGAGGGCTCCATTACCTCCACACAGGGGCCGACAGGGGGGTAATCCATCGTGATGTGAAGACGACGAACATATTGCTGGATGAGAATTTTGTGGCAAAGGTGGCAGACTTCGGGTTGTCGAGAACCGGTCCGGGTTGGGATCATACCCATGTCAGCACTGCTGTGAAGGGAAGCTTTGGGTATCTGGATCCCGAGTACTTCAGGAGACAGCAGCTGACTGAGAAATCCGATGTTTACTCTTTTGGTGTGGTGTTGTTCGAGGTTGTCTGTGCTCGAGCAGTGATCAACCCGAGCTTGCCGAAAGACGAGATCAATCTTGCTGAGTGGGCAATGAGGTGGCAGCGACAGAGGTCGCTGGAAACTATTATTGACCGGCGTCTCGAGGGAAGTTATTCCCCTGAATCGATGGAGAAGTACGGGGAGATAGCGGAGAAGTGTCTGGCTGACGAAGGAAAGAATCGACCAACAATGGGGGAAGTTTTGTGGCACCTGGAGTATGTATTGCAGCTTCATGAAGCTTGGCTGCAGCTGCAACAGGCAAACCCAACTGAGGTGTCTATTTCTGGTGGCCACCAGAGTATAGAAGCCAGCCAAGAACATCAAGAACAACAAACGTCGACTCCCCAGTCCCACATTGACGAAGATCAAGTGTGACAGTGCTGCAACTTGTACGTGTTATTCAAATTCTTTTATTTCACTCCAGTTTCTAAGCACAGAAATTGTAATCTTTCTAGCAACTGTATCATAGAGAGGGGAGAGCAGGATATTAATGTCTGATGAGATAGCAGAAGCATATAATTGTATTGTATTTTATTTCTTCTGCTAAGGTAGCTCTTGGCTACATTGAAGTCGGATTCTTCTTTATATATACACTGTCGGTCTCATTTTCCAGAGTAACACAATAACATAATATAACCAAAGCCAGAAATGTTGCAAAATGTTACAAACATGGTTTAGTAGCTATATTCAATGCAATTTGCAGGCGAGACTGCAGACAAGCTTTCGAACAGCTTCAAAGCATTCATCATCAACCGAGAAGGAGCTCAGACGCAGAAGCAGGGCTGTTTCTGTGATTTGGTCGAATTCTTGCCTTGACCTGAACAAGAAATAACCTCCGCATTCCCACGCTGAAAGGTTGGTAGAGTTTTGAAATGGCTTTCGCTGGAACAACAAGTGCAAACGTCAAATACCATTCCAGCGGTCAGGAAACTTGATCTTTCCCAAAACTAGGGAAATCCCATATACATTCTTTTCGTCCCTCGAGTCTCTAGATTAAATATTTCATCCCTTTTAGCCTCACTTGCCCCACATATATTGGAAACCTCTCGTTTCCCCTCAATTTCCTCTCATGTTAACCAGCTACCCGTTATTTGAGACTGAATGGGAGATTAATTAATGGAACCGAATGGAGGCAAAGATGGATTTCTTGCATACATGACGTATGAGTCATAAGATGAAAAACAGATTTCTTGCATGCTAAGCATGAACTCGTATAATTTGGACGGAATTTCCAGTATATAGGCACAAAACTGAATAAGAGGGGGGAATGGAGATTTACCTGAAGGAACAGAAAGACCTTCCTCCCGCAGTCGGCTATCAGCAGATTGTATGTTACGTTGTTCACTTGTAAGAAACTACAAATCTCAGCTACAACTTCCACTAGTATCCTGGAATAGCAGCAGGCTTCAAGGAGAAGGGTTTTGATGGGATAATCTATGACAGTTGAGATAGATATAGGTCCCGTATCCCCGTCTCTATATAAAAGTTCAACAGGTGCAAACTCCACTGGCAAAAGATCTGGGAAGTAGCAGGCCTAAATCCACCAAAAGAAAATAACCAAGAATGAAAAGCCTTAAACTTGTTAGCCCATAAGTCTCCAGAAATAACTCCATCACTTGAAATGATGTCGGTCTAATTCAGAAGTTACTGTTCGGCGCATAACTGATGCTAAAATCAGCCACTGAAGGAGTTAACTCGAACTACTCGACTTCCCAGATAAATAAATTCATCCAAAGATGAGATATAGTACCTGAAAGTGTGGATATGAAGCCCTAGATCCAGAGCAATCATGAAACAAGCGGAAAGAACAATTGTTCATGTCAATGGCAATCCGAGCAATCATGTCAAGGAATCTGGCATCCAGGGCATGGCAGAGATCTCTGTACCCACGAGGTATCAGATACACATGCCCATATTCCACTGGATTTACCTATCAACCATAAATGGAATCAGTAAGATTTCCGTCATTATATGATCAGCTCCAGAAATATTGCAGAAATCCATCGAATACTACTTCAAGCTCGGCAAATGATTTGCTGGAACACAAGATACTGGCACAAAAAGCTAGAAGAGCTGATGCATCAGAAAAATAAAGCAGTAGGGCCTGCATGAGATCAATTTCTGGATAGTAGCTATATAAAATAAGTAAACAGCAAGCATAGTGCATAGTAGAGGTATTGAACAATGAAGCAAATTGAGTGAACTCCGGGAAACAACTCCCGGCACTCTATCTTACATTAAATGCAATCATGACTGCCTCGTCAGGCACAGCAGCTGAAGGAATAATGTCAGAATGCAGCTTGTCGCCACGTTTAATCCAAAAGAGCAGGTTATCTTGCTGGTGGTTCAACCAGGCAGACTCTGATATATTCTTCTTTCTCCAACCACAATTCAACTGAGCAAGAAATCTGCTTCGACCAGTAATGATCTACGTAAAATGTGCAAATGTTAACTACACACAGTAGCCAATAAATAGCTCTTAAAACAAGATGAGGATCCAAAGGAAACCTTGATTTCCGTCAAGGTTATGTCATGCATGAATTGACCTTTTATAAGTTTCTCTTCCCACTGAAAGTCATCACAAAATGACGGAAATACATAAGGAAGCCAAACACTACAATGTGAAATTAGGAACACCTACGTTACAGACCAACCAAGAAGAACAAATCAACTAGGTGCTTACCTTTGCAAGCAGAAGATATTCAAGTGGACTCTGTTCTTCTTTGCATATGTGCAGGGGTTCATCAGACCCAGTGTTTTGCACGAGAGGTTCCACACCAATGTTGTAAACTGGGGTTTCAATGCCTATGCAATAGCGTGAGCAGTTCAAAATATCATCAATAGAAATGGAAAAACCAACAACCAGAGAACTGAGAAAACTGTTGTGTCAATTAGTCATCTTCCAGTTTCAGTGACAGTGCAGAGAAGTAAACCAATGCAAATGAAATTACCTTAGACTACAGACAGAAGGCTTATATCTGACATTCTTTAACCCAATACATACCTCCAGAGTTATGTAGACGCTAGACAATGTTCAAAACAATTTCAAGTAACTTCACTACATTTAGAAGATGAACGTTCAAGGGATTTGACAATCAAAACTAACCTTGAGAACCAAATTGTGGACAAACCGATTGCTTTGTGGTGCACTTGGATGGTAAATCACTACCTTCGAGCTGCTTGATATTCACCATTGCTATACTGAGAACCCTTACAGAACCAGAAGTAGTCTAAGCCAGTAGTAATCAATGCGTTGCCTCAAGAAACTTCAAAAGCACAAAACTTTAGATACATTAGCAGCAACCGCCACCAGCAAGGAAGGTAAGGTCTGCCGGGTGACCACCAGCCGATGGAAGTGCACCACGACCACCGTGAAACGAAGGAGATGCAATCAAGAACTTAGGGAGCTCGCTTGCATCCATGACTTTGCCCTTTTGATCGTTTTTATACGAGAACCTCCTTTAATAGCCGTGTTTGAATCGATGAAGCTAGCCCAATCAGGACCAGCTGACCAAAACCCACCTTATACCCTCGCAAATCTTGCAGGAGAACTGGAAATAACAAGTTCGATAGGTCAAATAAACGAAAAATGGCTATTCCTCTCAAACAAGTTGGGGAATTTGAGCTTCCCCACAAAGAAAATGAAATTTCCACCACCACATTCATTCATCTAAAATCTAAGCTAGGTTCTAAGCCATCAAGAAAGTTGTCAAGGGATTCTGCACGGCCACTGTCTCCCTCGCATAAATCAACCTAAATGGCGCTATGCATAGCACGAGTTTTAGAAAAGGGGGATCGATCGAATCACATTTCAACCGGAGTCCGATTCAGACTAATCAGAAACACATCAAAACCAACTACCGAATCCATGTCTAAAAGCTCAAGACGAAGGAATCAACAAGAAAAAGTTACATTAAGGGATCGCGACGTTTGCTGATCAACGTATAATGGAAAGTACGTACCTCGAAATCTTTCGGTCCTTAATTTCCAGTACCCTGTAAGCAACTGAGACCACCGCCTCTACGTGTTCCGTCAGCTACGAGCAGGGATGGCAACGGGAGAGGTCGGTTCCGGATAAATTATAAATTACGGGTACAAGGTTTGACAAAATACGTATAAAAATATAATTACTTATTCTTAAATACAACATTTAATCTCAATACCCAAATCGTAATATCAATACTAAATTTCCAAATTCATTAAATAAATCACAATTTAATTTTTCAAATTAAAATGACATCATTTTGTATAGACTATATAGGATGGAAATCCATCATACTAGTCATATATCTATTCATGTTGGGTTCATGGCCGACAAAGATTATACCAGGTTTAACTGGTTGTCATTCGATCGACATGACAACCATGCTCTAAACCATTTTCATCTCCATTCTCATTATCATATACCTAAATTAATACCCGACTTATTCCATTGTTGTGGGTGATTGATAATTTGCAACCTCGCTCTTATATTCGTGATTTTTTTAGTATACGTGGGTAATATTCGTCTCATATATCTACACAATAAATAAAAGTCAAATGAGAAAACTTGAAAACCCCATTTCAAATTTCCTGCATCTAGAGTGAAAGTAGGAAGGACATATTGGTCTTCACAAGAACTTTTTTTATTCATTAAAAAGACATTTACTAGGATTCGAACCATGACCACTTTAAAAAAAAAAAGCAAAGATCATAACCAATCATACTAAATACATTTGTTATATCTTTTTAAATTAAAAACATATAATCGTAGAGAGAAAAAAACTCTTCCCCCATTTCAAATTCTCTACTCCATGAGCGTTTGTAGGAAGGCTAGAATAGGGAGTGTCAATTTTTTTTCTTTTTTCTCTGTGGAACAGGCCAACTTACCGTACACATGCAAATTTAAACGGGTCCAAGAGTGTCAATTTTTTTCTTTAAGTCCTTTTATTTCTCCGTGGTGGTAAAATATATATGAAAAGGCAAAAACAATACCCCTTTTATGCTAAAAATAAAAAAAAATTAACAATAAACTAATGCATGGATTCTAATGGGCTAACCGCTAATCATAAAATAAAAGAGTTGAATGAGTCTGACCTACACGGGATTTGCCCATCAAGTAAAACAAATAAACATCATGGGTTTGTCATTCTAAAACAAGCTATTTTCTCTAGCATAATATATATTATGCTATTATTTTATATCATAGTAGCTAAAATATAATGTATTTTAAAGTTATTCAATGGTTCAACCTCGACCAACCCAATTAGTCCAATTTTTATCATTTCAGTTATATATTATGTAATTATTTGATATCATAATGATTAAATTATTGTGTATATTATAGGGAATCGTTTGGTATTTGTTAGTAAAAAACTAAACAGAAAGATCTATTTGGTTATTTTTAACATTAAAACGATCCTAAACATTTTCAGTTTCCTTTCGAAATTCTATAGTTTTATTCCGAATCAGTGATGTGCAAATGGCAAATCGCAGTCATCTCTTTTATTTCATTATTTTTTATTTTCAAATAGAAAGTTTAAAAGTAAAGAATAATTAGAGTTTGGCACGGGTCGGTCAAACAGGCTGAATTTCAAGTTTTGGCCCGTTTTGATCAAGTCTAATTTATAATCACATGGTTCACTGATACCCGATAAAAATCTCAATCCAGACCAGTTTGGCAGGTGAGTCCGTGTTTACCACCATTTTCTATGGATACAGGAACGGTGGTTCCTATCCCAAAGCGTGTTGTTCATTCTTGATTTCTTCAGATTTTATCATGGCTTGGCAAAAAACCAGAAAGCACAATGATGACAAGAAGAAAGTTTTATAAAGCAAATTAACCGGTCAACGGGCCGAGTAAAAGCTAGCACCGATTGTGAGATGCTCATTTCCCGAAAACCGGCGGGATAGACGATTTTTATTCGATTTTCTGGAATTCGGTTTCTATAAAACTTACTCCACCTCATCATATTACCAGAAACAATATTATTTCACAAGGTAACAGGTGCTTGATTTTGGCTCATAAGGCTGATTTTTGAATCGTTGAATCATTCATGTCTGTTTCCTACTAAAATTCATTAATTTATCAAGTGTTTCTAAAAAAAAAACTATACAACAATAAGCTATACACCTCATTACATTATCAAATTTCATACCTCACCTTCCTCTAACCAAATGGCCGGGGCCCACGCTAGTTCAATATTATTATACAAAGGTTGTCAACGTGCAGGTTGACCCGGTTCGGCCTGGACCCGACAGTAAAAACGGGTTATAGCCTATAGGCATCCAGTTTGGAATTAACCCGGATACTCAAACCCGGGAGAACCGGGCGGGTTGACCAGCTGAACAATTCCATGGCCCGCTGCTTCGCGTCTCTGCACTGTGGTCTCTGAGAATTGTGCAACGGAAATTCTTATTAGTTGTATTTGGTACTGCACTTATTAATGTATTTATTTATAACTAGTGGATACTTAATTAATTTATAACTAGTGTTTGTCGGGGAATTGTGGACGCAATTTACAACTTTGATTTTTATTATGAATTTTTTAATATTATATTATTTGTAAATTTTAATATGAATATTGATGTTATATGTTGAATTTAGATATACTTAATATTTTTATTATATATATTGCTACTTAAGTATGAAATATATTTTGATATAATGTTGGAAGCAAATTTATATAATTTATTATATATGCAAAATATAATATTTGTTACACTTATTCAGTTTATTCAGGCTAAATCGGGCTAAAATGATTCGACTATTAACGCTTAACTCACTCTATCGAGTCAACAGGCCAAACCGGACTAACAACCTTACATAGAATCAACATCAACATGTAGGTCTTCATTTATAAGACTAACAATACTAAATAAATCATAAAAGGAAAAACCGAATAAAACTGATAAAAAAAGCATATCAAGATGCAAAATTCAGTACCAAATGGGCATAGGAATTATTTTTGGTAGAGACTAGACTAGAAAGTACTAAAGTGTTCTTTCTTTCCTAAACACGTTTAAGAAACAAGTCCGTTGCCCCACAAAAAAAAGTTGTGCCTCTATATTTCCAAGCGCCGAAGGGCTAAGTTCGGGTCCTTAAGGCTAATAACTTAAGAATTATCTTAAGTGATTTCTATTGGCTGATAGAATTTAGTTAGTTAATAAATTGTTAGTAATTAATTAGTGATTACTCATAATTAATATATTAATTAATTAAAAAATTAAAAGCATGTCGCACTCATACCTTCCCAGTTCCTATGCGGCTATGCAAATGGCACACTTTTTAAAAGCTACAAAATCCGTACCGCAAGCTTTTTATCCCTGGCATTGGTTCTTCATTCGATTGTCTCTTCGACTATTTAATTATGGATAGACGTAAAAATATGAATCACTAATAAATATATTTTAAATTATTAATAATGTTATTTGAACAGTTAATAATGATGTTATATAATGTTAATAATTCCTTTTTAAATGTTAATAATGAAATTGTTTATGATTAACAATCTATCTTATATCTTTAACGGCCTAATATCATTTTTTAATAATGAAGCCGATTATTGTTAATGTCTTTGTTTTAGTTTTGAACAAAGACACCAATATTTGAACATTTTTAATGTCATTTGGCACTTAATATTGAATCCAAACATTATTAATGATTTTGTGTTGGTTCTCAATGAAATTCAATTTCTTTATCAATGGAGTGCACATTGTTATTAATGGTTTTCAATATCCAAATGTTGTATATTAACACTTAATATTGAATCATAATAAAGATATTGTAAATCAATGGTAATATTATTCAACTCTTTACTAACAATATAACATAAATTTAATAATACATTAATAAGCGTTGATAATGAAAATATAACTCGTTAGCAATTGAACTAAATTCTTTAATAATGTAACCGTAAAATATTGATAAGTATACTGAAAGTGTTAATAATGATGGGGTATATCAATAATAATTTTTTTTATAATCGTTGATAATGCAATTGAAAAACATTAATAATATCAATGGCAATCAGCATGGAGATAGAGTGTAAACATTTTAATTACCTTTTTAATACAAAAAAATATTAATTAAGATTTTTTATTTTTTATTTGGGCTTCCATTAACTGTTAAATACTAATATTTAATTAATATCTTTTATTACCCTTTTAGGTGGTTAGACTTCACTTTCTCTCTCCTCTTAATAACTTAAGAAACTCCTTAAGTTTTAAACTGAAAGACCGGATCCAACCCGAGCTCCGAACAAAAATTCTCATTTACATTAAATGTATTAGTCTCCCAATCTATGCAATAAATAAAAGTCAAATGAGAAAACTTGAAACCCCATTTCAAAGTTCATACATCAAGAGTGAAAGTAGGAAGGACATTTTGGTCTTCACAATTTTTTTTTATTCATTAAAAAGACACTTACTAGGATTCGAACCATGACCACTTAAAAAAAAGCAAAGATCATAACCAATCACACTAAGTACATTTGTTGTATATTTTTAAATTAAAAATATATAATCGTAGAGAGGAAAAAACTCTTCCCCATTTCGAATTCCCTGCTCCAGGAGCGTTTGTAGGAAGGGTAGAATAGGGAGTGTCAATTTTTTTATATTTCCCTGTGGAACTGGCCAACTTATCGTACACATGCGGATTTAAACGGGTCCAAGAGTGTCAATTTTTTTCTTTAAGTCATTTTATTTCTCCTTGGTGGTAAAAAAATATATATGAAAAGGCAAAAACAATACTCCTTTTTATTGCTACAAAGAAAACAAATTTAACAATAAACTAATGCATGAATTCTAATGGGCTAACCGCTAATCATAAAATAAAAGAGTTGAATGAGTCTGGCCTACACGGGATTTGCCCATCAAGTAAAACGAATGAACATAATGGATTTGTCATTCTAAAACAAGCTATTTTCTCTATCATAATATATATTATGCTATTATTTTATATCTTAGTGGATAAAATATAATGTATTTTAAAATTATTTAAGGGTTCAACCTCGACCAACCCAACTAGTCCAATTTTTATCATTTCAAATATATATTATGTAATTATTTGATATCATAATAATTAAATTCTAGTGTATATTATAGAGAATCGTTTGGTATTTGTTAGTAAAAAACTAAACATAAAGATCTATTTGGTTATTTTTAACATTAAAACGATCCTAAACATTTTCAGTTTCCTTTCGAAATTCTATAGTTTTATTCCCGAACCAGTGATGTGCAAATGGCGAA